GTTGAAGAGTTTGTTTAGTTGGAACACCTTGTATATTTTCCAAGACACTAATATATAACTCTATCTGTAACCAAAAAATAGGACAACCAGATCAGTCTGTACATCATCGACATGGATTCATGTAATTGAGTAATGGACAGGGGACGCTTAATTGTAGAGCATGAATTAAATATTGGCTCCCAACAGGGAATTGAAAAAAACCTCCATTAAAAAAACGCTTTAATGGAGAAAAGTCGAAAATGTTCGAGGCTTAAGTCGTAATTTTCCAACAAATTTTACTTTGTACTCTTTCAGTTTTAAAAAATCCCTTTGTCATTATTTTTTTAATCACTTTTCTCGCGAGATATTAATTGGTTTCAATTTTTTTTGTTTTGCTTCTGATATCGGTTTTACAGATCAAATTTCCTTTTTTAAAAATACCTATAAATCCATATAGGGGGTTTTATTCAAAAAATTGATCCTTTATACTTGAAAATATATTAGCTAAATTACCTCAAGTAATACATATATTATATAATTATATAAGAGTTTCTTGAATTGAACTGCTGATATAGAAATTAATTCCACACTGTGTTTGTCATAATGTGGATCGACCTGCTCTCACTACCGGTTTTGGTGCCCTATTCCATCATCAGGTGAGCTTGGGTCGATTCCACAAAGTGACAAACACAGCGCAGAGTATCTAAAGACGACTTGTCGTAAAGCAGCGGTGAGATATTAAGTCCCGCATCGCGAGATAGCGGCCTGCGTGCAATGGTAGTACTTTCGTACCACCGAGGCATATCGATAGTAAATAAAGGCTTTATTCGGCTAGCCCAAATTATATAATGGAAAAATATTTCTTGCAGATTTTAGGTATACAGGGTTGTTCACCACATACGACACGGAATACTGTAGCTAAACGATTAGATTTTTACAAATTGTAAGTTTTGGGTTCGTTGAAGGTGTATTAGAGCTACAATTTACAAATATTTTTACAAGATACAGAGTGTCCCAAATAAGTAAAAAATATTATAGTTGTATTTTTTTAAATGGAACACCTTGTATATTATTCTATTTTTAGATTCTACGATTGAAATAAAGGTAAAAATTTGATTAAGGTTTATCACACTTAAACCTTACCGTTTTTGAAATATTTTCAATTTTATGAAATTGCAGTAAAAAAATTAAGGCTTTATTTCTCCAAGGGTATCAAAGTTTTTAATACTAAATATTTACTGAAGATTATTTATTGATCAGATATTGTGTTGCAATAATAAAAATTTTACTACCTTATACAGAGTGTCCAAAAATTTATATTAAATAATTACTAACTTTAAACGGCAATAACTTGTTTAATTTAAATGGAACACCCTATATATTTTACGTGAATCAGATGCACAATGTAAGTGTCTATCAAATTGTATTGTTCCATTTTTTACCCATCTCTTCAAGTTTTCATAAAAAATGCATTTTCTTATAATTTAGACCTCATTTATCACTATATCCATGGAATATTGACATTTTAGCTATGCGGTGTTTTCTTTAAAATACACCTTTGTTTGTTTTGTATTAACACATACTGTATTTTTTTGGAATAAAATAACTCGATTAGATTTTTTCAGTTTTATACTTTTTTTTTGAAGTGAAACTTCTTTACGCGCGATGCGAGTAGAAAAATGGTATCGATCTGGCAGCGTCGTAACTCGTGTCACCTCGTGTCCTATGTGAACTAGAATGCTGAAACCGGGAATCTTTCCATGATACTTTGACGACGTTTCATGCACTGCGAAACCCCATCATCAATGAATAAAATCAAAAAATTGTCCGATTTAAATGAAATTTGCTACGTCGATAGATTGGACCAAGGCCAATTTGACCGTCTACGACAAGTGTCACTGTGACAGTTAGTTTTGAGGTAAGAAACGTCAAAAGTTGATGTCGTCCGATTGCGACCAAATTTGGAGGGCAGTAAATGTGAGCGACGATGCACACGGTCCAACCGAACCCTGCAAAGTTGGATACGACGTTTCGTTTCAGGGTGAGACTTCTTCATCAGGGTGAGACTAACAATTCGATATTAACGAAAAATAGAGGACGATTTCGGCAGAATTGGGGATCGGCTACAGGATGACGCCCTCGACGACCGATGCCCCTAAATGGACAAAATCATCTGGATTTTTCTTAATTATGGGTCGATTGGAAACAAACTGGGCACGATAGAGGTACCCGAATGGAGTCCTCAGACGGACAGACAGACAGACAAAAGTAAGAAGAAGTTTCACATAAAATATGAGAACAAGTTATCACTTATCACTCAAATTTTAAATATATTAATTTCCTGCTATGCGTTCCAATTGTCCCAACTTATTTCTTTGTAAAATAAAAAAACTACTTTGAAATTAAAATGACAGACACATCTATCACTGTCGTTGAACAGACTATACCAACATTTATTGACAATGTAAAATAAACCAACAAAATATTGAATCTACCGTACATCATATTTTTACACGTTTTGAATAAAGTTAGAAAGGCTCTGATAAACAGGAATGTAAGTCGACCATTTTAGGACCCCGTTGCGTTCGATCAAAGATTTTTAATATGCTCCTCCCTTAATCTTTTTATTCAAAGTGAAAGATAGATACATTTCTTACCTTAACGAGAAACCAGTAATTTTTCTCGATTATATACCCGCATCTTTTTTCTGATAAGGAACAGTAATATTAGGGAATCCTCCATGCATCTCCTTCTCCTAACCCTACACCTCCACGGGAAGGGGGGACCCCTAAACCGATTAGGAGAGACGCTCACGTTTAATATTGGGCCCATTCGTCTACAGGTCCGGACTTAAGTCGTGGGCTCGTTACTTTTTGACAAAATTAAGGTGATTTATGTACGTTGCCAGAGGATATAAGCCTTTGGCGCTGACGTTTTTCCATTTAGATGCAAATGACAGGTAATCCCGTCCTGGCGAAAGACGAAAAGCCCCCTGATACGGTCCTGGCAAGGGCGTAATTGGAGTGGGCGGCTCGGGAGGTAGGGTTTTTGCGAGTAAATTGACAGTGAGTGTCGTCTGTATTAAATAATTAGTTTTTCAATATTATTATGCGGTTTAAAACAGAGAGGTATCTTAACTTTCTTGTTTGATTCGCCCAAATAAATGTTTTATTTACTAATTGATGTGTCGTTCAGATTTCGATTGCATGTGCTAATTTTTGAATAAAGACGAAGGAATTATGCTAATCGATTTCATGACCTCCCATCATAGATAAAAGAAACAATAGGGATAATGTAAATACTATTTGGGCGCTATTCTTCCGGGTCGTTTTACAAAGCCTTCGGATAATTTCGGCTTTTTCCGGAATTATGTCGCCTAATATTAATTATTCAAATTTATTATTATTTTCTTTTAATTTTTTAAGTAAAATACAGTGTGTTGCATATAAGAAATTTTATTTTATATAAGGACTTTATATCGGTAACCTACGTTATGCCACGATCCACGATGGTTTTTGCAGTTCACAGTTCACACAGCTTTTTAAGTTTTTAATATCACTTTTTCACAATTATCGCGGGTTAGATTAAATAAATTTTAAATTAAACTCACTAGATAGCGATAATTACTTTGAAAATGGACGCTTTAAACACTTTTCGGCACTTTTTCGGTTTAAATTTTAATTTAAATAAAACATGGCAAACCGATTTTTTGGCACATTATTTACTTCAAGTCTTCACATTTAAATTTGTTTTGAAATTTTGCGAATTTATTTGTCCCAAGCCAACTAGACGCTTTTTTTTTCGACCATACTGTATAATAGATAATAAAATTCACTTAGAATTAAGTATCATACCGGGTGCCTCTCAAAAGTGGCTTATATCTATAACTTTTTTATTTTTTCAGATAAAAAATCGAGATTTGGTATGTTAGTATATGACATAAATTAGGATTGATTGGCCTATTCAATTAATTGTTGTCAGTCACTTCCTGTTTCACCGGAAATAACTACAAGTTTTGATTTTTAAATTACACCCTCTGTATTTTTTAGCTTTATTCGATAGAAAATTGCACTCTAAATACAATGACATATTATATGTCAACTTTTGACATTCTCGCATATGGTTTATTTGAAATTATAACATGCGGCTCATAACGACAATTTCACTCGAAATACCAAGTATGTGGTACCATTATTCATAAAAATATTTTTTTCCAAAAATGCTAATGAGCCACCCTTGTTCCATTTGAAAAAATTGAGACATCATTATAAAAATGATATGGGCATCTTTTAACCGGCCAGCGGGGACAAGACATGAAAAACATTGGATGATCAAATATATTTTCCAAGGCTCCTTGATTAAAAAATAGTGTACACAGCCATGGCACTCTAGATTGCAATTTTTAATACGATTTGTTTTAAGCGAAAATGTAAAAGTTGACATATAATATGTTATTTTCTTCAGAGTGTCATTTTCTGTCGAATAAGGGACACATATACCGAGAATGCCATTTAAAAATCAAAAGTTGAAGTAATTTCCAGTGAAACAGGAAGAACCAAAACAATAATTGATTACGTCAATCAATCCTAATTTATCCTAACATACCAAATCTCGTTTTTTTATCTGCAAAAATAATAAAGTTATAGGGGTCAGCTACTTTTTGGACGCACCCGGTATATAGGTATGTACTTTTATTTATTACTTGTAAAAAATAGTTAGGATGTGTCAATTTTACTTAGTATTTCAATCGCGTATCTGGAATTTTTGTTATTAGATAATTATTATTATAACTATATTATAGAAATATATTTTTTAGCAACGAAGACAACATAAAACAAAACCAACACATTTTTGCGTCATCCTCACATTATATCCCCTTTACATGTTTTAAATAAAATAAAAACGACACTGTTAGCCAGAATTTAAGTCTTCCATATTAACCCCCCATCGCGCTCCTTTCTGTCATACATTAGCTTTTTATTCAAAGGTGTCAGTTAAAAAGAAATAGATAAATCACTTACCTACAACAGAAAGATACATAGAATGACCTATAGGAGGTGTTGTACCCACTTGGCATTCATATATTCCTGCATCTCTTTTCTGTGGGTACCTCACCAGTAAGGTCCAGTCTTCTGTCTGAGGGTTATGAAGAGCTGAGAATCTTTGATCTGAGGTATATGTAAATCTGTTCACTGTGAGGAGGTGTAGGTCTCTATGTCTAATCCATGACACCTGGAAAGAAAATTAAGTTACTGTAGAAAATATGAAATAGTAATCACCAATAGCAAAATAAAACACTAGTGCGTTATTTTGCTGTTGTAGCACCAAAAGTTCCAACCCTCAACAGTAACCAATAGCATGTGGATTTTTTACATAATAATGTGATTTTTTCAATTAAGGGTACTAGAATTTGTAATATTCATTGGTTTAATAATATTCTTCTACAAAAAATGGGGCTTTAAAAGTGTACCATACAAAGACATTATAAATAGAGACCGAACATCTCATTCATAAATACTCGTTGGTAGTGTATCAAACATTCCAATGTGTCAAACAAGGACAGAAGAGACAGAGAAGTCTAAAATTTCCGACCCCGGCAACTAGGCTCATTTGGATTGTTTTAATGGCCAGTGGCGTATCGTTTTTTGGAACGAATTTAATTAGTAAAGTAAAAGTAAAGTAATTAGTAAAATGTTTACTCCATATTAATATACTACATTAACACTTTTTCGTCAGGTAAGTTTTGTTATAAGGTCTAATATAATAATATAATTAATATCCCACATATACTTATGTTGAAACGTTAGTAGGTAGTTTTCGAAAATCGCTCCAACGTCGATTTTCAATTTAAACTTTCAGTTAATTCTATATAAACTTTCAGTTACTTCTGAATATTTACAGGGTGACTCAGGCTTCCGAAACAGTTCTATATTAGGTTTGTGGTTGGTGACTTTTCTTTCAATTTTTTTTTCAGAATATGGAGGCAATGGTAAAGCACGTTTTAGACATTTTGTAAACATAGATGGCCGGAACATATTTTCAAACTAAAGTTGTAGATTTGCCATTAAATTTCCATTCCAGAAATACCTAGGGTTGCCACCTGTCCTTTTTTGAAAAGGACAGTCCTTTTTTGGAATAACTTGTCCTTTTGACTTTTTTTGACTTAAAAAGTCATTTTTATTTACGTATTTTATATTATTTTCGTCTAAATTTAATTAGAGATGTTATAAAACTTATAAATAAATTTTTCTTGTTTAAAATAGGCAACATTATTTAGAACTTCCCATTTAATCTCAAATGATAATTTAGGTTTTAGTTTTACCTTTTTGATCTTAAAAGAACTTTTTAAAATTAGTAATTAGTAACGATTTAGTTAGTTCGCAATCGATAGCTACCTGTAAAGTACTGTGTAATAGATGTTTATTATTAATAACTTCCTATACCCAAAATCAATATTTAATGAGAAAATTGTGTTTTTTTGAAAATATAAGACAAGATTTAACTTTCGGTCTTCTTCTTGTATTATGATGGCCCTGATACGAGGCAATTACCTTTTAGTCTCTCAATAGAAGGCATTATCATTAAAAGTACCAAATCTGTGTGCAACAGTATGGGATTTCTGTCGCATAATAATGAATATTACGTTTATTTACAAATCCATTACTTTTAAAGGTAGCTTCATCAGACAATCAAATTTTAGTTAAATGTCCCAATCTTCATGAACTGTATTAAGCATATGTATTGCGGTTTGAATCACCCCGAGAATCACCCTGTATGTTGACAAAAATATTTTGAAAATGTGCGTTACAATGGCCCCCATCTTATGTAAAAAATTGAAATAAAAATTACAAACCAAAAACGTAATAGGTAAAAAGCTTTTTTGGAGGCCTGGGTCACTCTGTATATAGGTATGTATAAAACTAGTAGCCTAAGAATTGTTTACAGTTCGTCCCATTCTAAAAAAAAGGTAAACACACCGTACAAATAACTCTAGGAGAGGTATTTGTACGGTGGTAAAAAATTGTTTAAACGAGGCCGAAGGGGCAGATAATGCAATAAAATGTAAAAAAAGGGCGGGTAAACACCTTTATTTATTTGTTGAGCAGAATTCCTTTAGAATATCGTATATAGTGACCAAAATATGACGCAATTTTAAGAAAAAAAATGTCACTTTCTGGCTTATAATAAAGTTTCAAATGCAACGTTTATATTCAAATTTGTTATGATCTACAAGAGTTAAGTAGTAATTGAGACGAATTATAATTCAATTACCGGCTACTACGTTCTTGTTTTAATAGCTCAAAATTCAACAAATATAATTAGAAATTATTTTAATTGTGAGAGGCTCCCTTGTGAGACGCCTATGTATGGCGATTACGGCGCGGCGGAAACAATACCTACCTATGAAAAGACAAATTCGGGTAATTTGAGCTTATTTTTCCACACATTTGACACTGTCGCACCATATTGAAAATTCGCAGATTCAAAAGTACGTTAAACAAAAGCAAAAACTACTGAAAAACACTGAAAAGTTCACTTCGAACTTGATTCCGACTTCAAACATACCGTAAGCTAAACGTAGTACGCTATAACGGACCAAGGGCCGTCGCGAGGGGTGGTGGGACGGACGGCTCATTTCATTCTGTAAGACTAGCAGCGACGTTGCCAGTAGTTCTAGACGTTTCAGCACATTAAACAGTAAACATGTCCTTTAATAGTAACGCATATATCCTCTGGTTAATAACATATTATTACGCATGCTTCTTTAAAATAAACTATTAATTTAATTAAAAAATTGAGATTTATTGATATCCGGTGAAGGTTTTAAAGTCACCTTTTCTGCAAATCAAACTAAGTAGATAGGCGCAAATTTGAGATGTGGCAATGTCGCTTTCTCTATCTCAGTTGGTTTTTACAGTACGTAGTCAACCTCCGATTGTTTGATCGGGTTAAAATGCAAAATGTGATATCTGTTCTTCCTAAATCTATGGTACCATATTTACAGCATGTCGTATGTCCCCGAATTGTCTTTACAAGAAGAAAACCTTTTTTATTATTGACATTTTGAGAAGAACGCATTCTTCATAAAAATTTTTGCTTGTTCTAAAATGGTAAATCCCCTTTATTCGTTTCCAAATTTCAATATCGTTTTAGAGAAAACTAAAAAATAAACATGAAAATACGAATGAAATTTTTCAAAAGTCCTAAATATATAATATATTATTTGATATAATCAAAAGGCGTTTGTATAGTAATAGCATTTCCATTTCATTATTTGATAGATGGTTATCATCAATTTTGATTAGCGGCATGTTTTGCTGTTATTAAAGTATCACATTTTTGGATTAAACTATTATCACCCTTTCCGTAGCATTAAACTAAATAAATGTTGTGCTTCTTTAATATTTTAAAACAATAAAAAATATAATAGTAACCAATATAATAGATGATAATAGCCCGCCTGGTTGACCCAGGTCGGGTAGACGAAACGGTAGCTTGTGTCGCCTATTGTGTCTAGAGGTAGGCTCCCGACCCTTGCTGGAGAAGGTGGAGGCTTGTGTGCCACTTATGGAAGATGATCCCAAGCAAGTGGCAGCTGCCCCTCTTGTAGTTTCCTTTGGATTTAGTTCCTTGGAACTTGTAATGTTCCCAGTGTTGCTAGGGGGCTTCCCCACAGCTTCACCGGTGGTGTTTTTAATACTAGATCTCATAGTGTTCCCGCGAGTCGCTAGGGATAGTCAGTCCACTTCTACAAAGCCCCGCATATAGAAGTAAAGGGTAAATACAATGGGGTGCCCCCTGATGCCCCAAGGTTGAGGCCAATAATGGCTAGCGCATCCCTTTGACCTGGTCCCGCTATCGTAGGATTTAGGTTTTTGGTGACGTTGTCTCCTCTTGGTCCAGGCGGTTAAGCCAAGACTCCCCCACACCCTCTACCCTCGAGACATGACCACAGTCAGTAGAGGGTGCCTAGTATGACGGACAGGGGTAGCCCCGTCCGGCATCATTATATGTCTTGGTGCAACTAATTGGTTTAGATCAAAAATATGAAACTACCAACTTACGTTGCAATGGATACAATAGTTCTGAAGATATTGTCAGATAAAATAAACGTATTATTTTCATTTTTTTACTTAAATCAGAAACTAATCAAGATACCGAGGTTTTCTTCAAAGGCCTTTGTGTTTTTTCAAAGGCATCGAACTTGTCACCATAGACAACAACTATATAAAGAGTATGTCCCCGGATTTTCTTTACATGAGGAAAAACTTTTTTATTATTGGCATTTTGAGAAAAATGCATTCTCCATAAAATGTTTCACTTGTTCTAAAACGGTTAATCCCGTTTATACTTTTCTAAATTTTCATACCGTTTTAGAGAAAATTGAAAAAACATGAGAATATGTTTGAATTTTTTTTTAGTCCTAAAAATTAATTACGTTCTATAGTAATATAATTTCAATTTCATTCTTTAATAAATGATTATTATGAATTTTGATTAAGGTCATATTTTTTGCTGTTGAAAGTACCACATTTTCGGATAACTACCTACCTCATTATCACCCTTTCCGTAGCATTGAACTAAATAATACCGTATGATCGAATAAAAACGGCGTCAGCGATGGCTATGAAATGAAGATCGCTGTCATTTTTTATGTAAAATTATATGGAAAATGTCATCGATCGTCATTTCTAAGCCAACTGGACGCCGTTTTTTTTCGATCATACGGTATTTGTGCTTCTTTAACATTTTAAAGTAGCAAAAAATATGACGTTAATTAAAATTCTATCAACAACAATCTATCAAAGAATGAAACCCAAATTATATTACCAAATAAATGCGTTTTGATTTTTAGGACTTTTCTCCGAATTCTATTTTCGAACTATATTTTCTAATGTTTTTTTCTAATTTTCTCTAAAACGGTGTGAAAATTTGGAAAAGTATAAACGGAATTAACCATTTTAGAACAAGGAAACATTGTCCTCTTGTAATGACAATCCGCAGACATACTGTATATATGATAACATTTATGCAAAAAAATGTTACGTCGAACAAATATGGAATAATTGTTTTATCGACTTTTTTATTTTAAACTTTAACCAGATTTATAAAATCCAAAAGAAACTTTAAACCGTTTTCTTAAATTCTACAGGCGAAAGAGCTAAATCCCACATCACAAAAGGATAATTTTATTCTCATGACGCCGAAAGCGATGTAAAATTCATACTTTT